TTTTTTTTTTTTTTTTTGCCAGATAAGATTCTTCTTTGGCAGTTGTTTTCTTTCAGAATTTTATATATGCCATTCCATTGTCTTCTTGTCTGTATAGTTTCTGCTGAGATGTCTGAGCTCATCCTCATTGGTTTTCCTTTGTAAGTGATCGTTGTTTTTCTTCCCTAGCTGCCCTCAAGTGTGACTAAAAAATGTTTTAGGGTCTACGCAATTTGGGGTTCTTTGCTTCTTGAATAGTTATTTTCTTCTGCTTTGTGATGTAAGAGAAGTTTTCTTCCATGGTTTCTTGTACTATTTTCTCTGTAGATTTTTTTTTTTCTTATTGCTCTGGAATCCTGATGAAATATAGGTTGTTTTTGGTTTCTGATTCATTTTTTGTTGTTGTTAATGCTGTCAGTTCTAGTTATAGTGATTGCCTTCCAGCTCATTGATTTTATTTTCCTTTACTTCCATTCTATTCCTCAGGTTTTTACTGTGTTCTTATTTATGCAATCTTATTTTCTATATCCTAGGAGTTCTTTTTTTTTTTTGGCTGAAGGCTTTTAGTTTTTCGATTTCTTTCATTGTTCTCATAAGTGTTCCCCACATCTCTTGAAAGGACCTAAACACCACAATTCTGGATTCCTTTTCTGGTCGTTCTAGTGCCTCTTTTTTGTAGTACTATATTGGGTTTGGGTGATTTCCTGTTCCTTGCATTCCTTTTTCTTGATTTTTTTTTGGGGGGGTTAACTATGGTTGACTCTTATTTCTGTGACATCACGGTGCAGCCATCAGTGGTGTGACAGCTGCTAGGATGCATTATTTTCCTTTGTCTAGTGACAAGGGGGTGGTCTAACAGAAGTCAGAACAAATACAGTGGTAAAATGGAGAAAAGGGGAGAGAGATAGGCAAGTGGATGAGTTGGGGTGAGGAAGAAGAGATATAATAAAAGTCCTGATAGTAATAATAAGGAAGCATCTGAATAGGCCAAAAGATTTGTGAAAATAATGGAAAATTTATTTTAAGAGGGGATTCAGAAGTAAATTATTGTGAAAATATATTTCATGAGGAACAGAAGGCCCTGGTTTAGGCCTGCTTGTTTTTGCCTAGAGGCATGTATATTATCAGTAGGATGCAGTCACATGGAATGAGGAAGGAGGAGAGAATTAGAGAAAAATAATAAAAGTATTAAATAGATCAAATATACAAAATTCAAAGACAATAAAGTTAAAAATACAATTGCCTTGTAGGTGGGGATTCCTGCTCCTTTGTTAGGGTCTACTATGTCTGGCACATGGAGGAGGGTATCTGTGTGTGTGTGTGTGTGTGTGTGTGCGCGCGCGTGTGTGTTGGTGGTGCGGGGGATTGGTGGTGGTGGGGAGGGCACCAGAGAAAGAAGGAGAAAAAACATTACATAAGAATGTATGCACCAAATTGTCTATGTGGTCTACTATCCACTCAGGGTCCCCAGAGGTCAGAGAGGTTTGGCTATCTGGGTTGGCTCAAGAGCCAGGATGGATTGGCTTATGCAAGGGAGATGGGGGTGGGGCATATAGAAGCTGCTCATGCTGATGATCAAAGCTAGAGTTGCTGATGTCCCAATTTAAGAAATTCTGGTCTACTTAGCTTTTAAGTGTTTTTTCCCTCACTTCCAGGGGGTGCTAATGTAACCTCTCCAGGGGTTTCTCAGATCTTTCCATGCTTGTTAACTATGGCAATTTTAGGAGACTAAGACACTCCCAACAAAGGCAGGATGGTGTGATGCAGACACAGAATGACCCAGCCATGCCAACCCAGAGAGAGGCATCTCGTGCTTGCAAAAGTAACAAGGAAGAAAACGGTCTTTACTTTATGTACCATTGAATCTTTTACCCAGATCCAAGAGGAATACATGTGGAGTTGATCCATCCACTCTAAACCTGTCCATTTGTGTTCTATTTTACTTTAAATGGTCTCTCTTAAGGGGGTTCTGATCAGGGGATCATCATCATAATGTAGCTAGTCCTACCATTAAACTAAGGAGCTTTAGTGGCATAGAGAGTGAGACAGTTTATTGTGCCAGCCTGGCTGATAAACGCAGGTGGGATTGACTGAGGGGCGGAGAGATGGATGGCTTGGTGAGCCTTGCCTTTCTTGTCTCTCG